TATTATAGCTTCACAGGAGATAACAGTTATAATTTACATGGAAGCTAAGCATTTTACATCTACTTTGTGGTTTCCTGCCATAGTCACTTTTTGTTTTATTTTTTAATTTTATTTTCTGTATTTTATGTGCATGAATGTTTTGCCTGCATGTATGTATATGCATCCGTGTGTGCAGTGTCCTGTGAGCCAGAAGAAGGTGTTGCATTCCCTGCACCTGGAGTTAAAGAAGATTGTTAGCTACCATGTGGGTGCTTGGAACCAAACCTGTTTCTTCTGCAAGAGCAGCCAGTGCTCTTAATCACAGAGCCATTTCTGCAGCCTACACAGTCACTTTTAAAATACTTTCTCTGCCAGGTGTGGTGGTGCATGCCTTTAATCACAGCACTAGGGAGGCAGAGGCAGGCGGATCTCTATGAGTTCAAGGCCAGCCTGGTCTACATAGTGAGTTCCAGGACAGCTGGGGCTACAGGAAGACCCTGTCTCAAAAAAAGACCAAAAAAACCATCCTTCTCTGTTTGAAATTGCCTATGAGACCAGGAATTGAAAAAATAAGTTAATAAAAATAAAAAATTACATCCTTTCACCTTAAGGTAGTGCCTGTCTTTGAAAGTGAGATGAGTTTCTGTAGACAACAAAAAGATTGGTTTTGTTTCTTAATCCATTCAACTAGTCTGTATCTTTTCACTGGGGAGTTCAGTCCATTGATATTTAAAGTTATTAATGAAAGATGTGTATTGAATCCTGTCATTTTTATTTCGGTTCACATTTTTGATATAGCTATGCATTTCCGCAGTTATACCTTCATTGAATTTCTTTCCATCACCCCTTGGGTATAGTCATTCCTTTCTTCAGCTCTTTGTATTGCTTCAAGAACTCTCTGAAGGGCTGGTTTTGTGAACATGAATTCTTTCAGCCTATTTATATCATAGAAGATTTTTCTTTCCCCTTCAACTATGATAGACATTTTTGCTAGGTAAAGTAATCTGGGTTGGCATCTGTGGTCATTTAGAGCTGGGAATACTTTGGTTCAGACTCTTCTGGCTTTCATAGTTTGCACTGAAAAGTCAGCTGTAATCCCGATGGGTTTACCTTTATATTTGATTTGTTGTTTTTCTTTTTCAGCTTTCGGTATTGTCTTCTTTCAGTATTGTCTCTTTGTTCTGAACATTTAGTGTTTTTACTATGATGTGACGTGGAGAGTTTCTTTTCTAGTCTTGTCTGTTTGGTGCTCTATATGCTTCTTGCATTTGTATGGCCATGTCTTTTTTTAATTTTGGGAAATTTTTTTCTACAATCCTGTTGAAGATCTGTTCCATACCATTGCTTGAGATTCTTCTTCTTGTATGCCAATGATTCGTAAGTTTTGTTTTTTTATGGTGTCACACAATTCTTGCATATTCCATTCTTGTGTTTTCTTAAATGTTTCATAATCTTTGTTTGAGTGGTCTAATTTGTCCACTTCATCTTCCAGTCTTGATACTCTGTTTTCCATTTCATTCATCCTATTGGTGAGGCTTTCTCCTGTTGTTTCTAATTGGCTTACTGAGTCTTTCACTTCCTTTTCCATTTCAGCCTGAGTATTCTTCGATATTTCTAACTCTTTTCTGAATTCATTCAGAGTTTATACCTATGTTCCTTTAGTTCTTTGATTTCTTTGTGTGTTCTTTAAATTCACTGAATTCTTTTATCATGTTTATAATTGGTCTTTTGAGTTCCATGTCCTGCATTATCTCTAGGGGGTTCTCACTGTACTCCTCTAGAGGACTACTGGTATTTGGTGGTGATATGGTATTTTGGTTTTTCATGTTTTTCTTTGTGACTTTGACATGTGAATTTCTTTTGTAGTTTCTAATTCTTGTGTGAGACTCAAGCCTTGCTTTGTTGAGTTTAGGTCTGCTTCTTTTTGTAAACTTTATGTGCCTTTGTGGTTTACTTTTTGGATATGAAAAGTTGGTTGATCTAGGCTTCAGGTTCTCTCTTTTTATTTTATATTGGAATAGCCTAATTATTTTTGTCTTCTGGAGTTCCCACAGAGGCCCAAGTAAGATGAGGCTTAGTTGATCTCAGGCTTTCTCCTAAGGTCTGGGACCCTCTAGGAAAGATGCTGCCCTGAAGAATTTGGGGGCTGGCCTGGCCTGGAAGAAGGGCCCAGGATAGATGATGGTCTCAGGAAGCTAGTGGCTGTGCCACCCAGGGAAATAAAGGGAGATGAGGGCAGGACCAGGCTCAGAGGGTTCCTGGGGACTGCTGGGAGGAACTGGGTTGGTCTGGATGCAAAGGATCAGAAGCAGTGGTGGCTCTGGGCCCAGAGGTTAGCCTCAGTGTCTGGGGTGCCAAGACAAGAAATGGGCCTGTACTCAGCCTAGGAGGAGAGACTTGGAGGGGGAGCTGGGAGGGTGAAAGAGGTTGGGGGAGTCAAGGCACGGTGGGCATGTTGGACTTATCCAGAGAAGGTGCTGGTACCAGGACATTGGAGGCTGTGCAGCCCAGGAAGCAAAGGGATATGAGGGTGGGACCGGCCCAGAGGGCTCCTGGGGACCTCAGGGAGGAATTGAGTTGGTCTGGATACAAAGGATCAGGAAGCAGTGGTGGCTCTGGGCCCAGCGGTTAGCCTTGGTGTCTGGGGTGCCAAGACAAGAAATGGGCATGTACTCAGCCTAGGAGGAGAGACTTGGAAAAGTGTGAAATATAGGGAGGACAGGAGACAAATTAGAACAAGATAGAATTATTTGTATGAAAATGTGCTAATGAAACCCATTACTTTCCATAACTTAAAAATTATTTTGGAGCCAGGCATGGTGGCACATGCCTTTAATTCCAACTCTAAAGAGGCAGAGACAGGTGGTAACATCGAGGCCAGCCTAGTCTACATGGCAAGTTCCAGGCCAGCTGGGGCTATAGGGAGACCCTGTCTCAAAAAGACCCCCCCCCAAAAAAATCAGAAGAGATCAGAAGAGATAAAGAGGGCCACTTCATTCTGATATTCTGATCAAAGGAACAATAAACCAAGAAGATACTACAGTCATGAACATATATTCACCAAACTCTGGTGCACCCAACTTCATAAAAACAGTACTACAGGACTTTAAGATCCAGATTAGTCCCAACTCATTAATAGTAGAGGCTGCAATACCCCACTGTTGCCATTAGATAGGTCAACAGGACAGAAAATTACAAAGAGACATCTGAATTAAACAATACCATGTATCAAATGGACCTAATAGACATCTACCGAATATTCCACCAAAGCACCAAAGAATATACTTTCTATCCTGTGCCCTGTGGAACCTTCTCCAAAATCGACTATGTCCTGGGGCACAAAGCAAACCTCAACAAATACAAAAAGACTGAAATAATTCCATGCATTCTATCAGACCACAATGCAATAAAGCTTAAAATCAACAAAGGAAGAAACCCTAGTAACTACATGAACATGGAGATTAAACAACACACTCCTGAATGATGAGTGGGTCAAAGGAGAAATTAGGAAAGAAATAAAAGTATTCCTGGAACTAAACAAAAAGGACAATACAACACAAAAAAACCTCTGGGACACACTGAAAGCAGTTCTTAGAGGGAAGTTTATAGCTCTAAGTGCCACATCAAAAAAATCAGACAGAGCCCAAATAAATGACAACACTGCAACTCAAGGCACTGGAAAGGCAAGAACAAATGAAACCCAA